GACTAAGATTTCTGCATTCACAGATCGAGCTGCTCGATTGGCGGCTGCACGAGCCTTTCGGCGCATTCCGATTAATTGTTGGATGTCCAACAGTGCCACTTCATCTTAAATTGGGCTCCCATCTACTCTAAGCCGGTAGATTCTGAAGAATTCCATTCATATGCATGATAAATAAGATTGGTGAAAGCACGCAATTTTAGTTGACACTTGTTGTTGAAATAGCGGTATCGACTGTGCTGACCTTTCACGTCGACGCAGACACAGCTGCCGGTGAGAACGGCCTGCACCCATCGGTTGATGCAGCGCGGCGTCTGCATGGAAATAATTAATTTTGACGTTACAGGCCTTTGGACCAGACCTTGCCAAAAGCTCGGTTGGGGTCAATGAGGTCAAGTGCCGTTCACTGAGGTTGACGTTGGGGCCATGCCGTCGCTAATTGACTGGGTGATACGGAGCAGCTGGTCTTCGGTGGAGTGTAAATGGCGGAAAACCACTTGCAACATTAATTCTCCTGACTTAAAGCTTTCGTGACAACATTAATTCATATTCTTTGGGTCTTTCGGTAAAGTCACGTCGATAGGTTCGAAGAAAAGAACAAAAAAACTACGACGTTTCGAAAGACCCAAAGAACATTATTTGTACGTACGGAGCACACGGTAATGTTGCGGAGTGCCCTCCATCTATCCATAAACGGTGCACATCAAAGCATCAACTCTGTGTTTTTTTTGTCGGATTAAAACATTTCTTTACGTTATGAACGGAGAGGCACACAAGCGCCGAGTGAACGTATTCCGCTCAGAAAGCACTATCGCCACGTTCTGCGATGACCAGAGGACCATATGGCACTGTATTCGTAAGCTGCAAAATTGTCATTGATGGAAGAACCAAAGCGGCTAAGCCCCCATTCCCCAGAGAGACAGCAAGCTCACCAGATTGCCATGGCGACCGCAAGAGTAATGTGCTCGCTGGAAGCTGGAAGCGAGAGTGCATTTGATTCCACCGTGATGTAGACGAAAGGGGGCTGTGTCCATTAGTCATCACGTTGATACCGTTTAACAAGATTTCAGGTGCCAATTCTGGGCGTCTGAAGGCGGGAGTAATATATTGTTGGATCTTTTCGAATTTTTCCCGATGCTTTCAACATGTTTCGCAAATCGTGTTTGCGGAGACGATCACGGACGGGCGATCTTTGTCGCCACTTGGCAATCAGTTAAAGACAAGGGCCGAGCGGAGCAGAACATATACACGCGTCGTTGTGAATGCGGATTCAGAACGAGCAGGTGTCCCCTGATGTGGCAGGGCTTTGCACAATCACACGCAAACATCGCCTTTTTACATTCACACGTTTAATCGCAGCACGAACGTGCTCTTGATATTTTAATGTGCCGTATATACATGGCTACACGAATTTTGGGCGTGGTGTAATGGTTAGTATACTGGACTTTAAATCCAGGGGTTATCCGGGTCGATCCAATCTCGTCGCGAGGCCGTTGAAACATTGAGCAAAATGTTCTTCTTAAAATAACCGCGCATGTCCTACCCAGCAATATAAGTGGATACACCACAGTTAGTCACTCGGCATGGCGCGTGTGGTGGGATAGTGTCGGTACTCCCACCTCTGACAGGCATGTGGTCATTGTGGAAGAGTAGGCCAAATACCGTCCAGGGGGCCTTTCTGCCACCAGTGGTCCGAGCAAGCCATTGCAGGACTGCACATTTAAATGTCATTTGGATGCATATCTTGCAGCCATATATGGCTCCATTAGCCCAACCTTGACCTCTGGCAAGCCAGAGTTCAGGGTTTTTCAACTGCTGGGGCGTGGGCCAGATGTGGCGTGGGCCAGATGTGGCCCTTGCAGCTGTGACCCAGAGAAAGAAATGGCTTGTGTAGATCTAAATATAGGTAAGTGAGGTGAAAGAGTTACAATCAAGAAATAGATATGAAAGGACCGTAGAAAATAAAAATTACTGAGATGAAAGATGGATAAATATAAGAGATGGTGGACATATTTATTTTATTTTATAACTACGTGACTTTACCGAACGAACCAAAGAGTAGGGAGACATAAGGACAAGAGATACACATTAAAGGGTCACACATGGACTGACAAAGCAAATTAAACAAGAACTTAAAAAGGCGACGAGGCCTTCTAATGACTCCTATACTCTATACTCTCCCAGTGCGGGAGCGGAAGAAATGTCTTGTGATTGGCAGCCAGAAAAATCGAACACTTACGTTATCGCGTGGGAGATGGCAATACTGTGCCACTGCACATGTGCGTAAGACCCTCAGGGTGCATACGTGAGGTTATTTTGTGGCAGGGTCAGGCGGTCGGCTGTGTCAGGGATCTAAGTTCAAGTTGTTGATAACCATGCCAATGGCCGGTGCAAGGTCAACCTTTTATCTATTTTTATGACATCGGTATTGCCATTGGTTCCAGACAAATGCAACTTTTTGATTCTTGAACCTCTCGCTAAAAAAGATTGCTCCACCTTCGTCAGTCACTTGTCACCGAGGTTGAACTCCAGAGTCATAAAGAAATAAATCTTTATTAGACGTCAAACTTGCTTGAGGATCCAGGGCAAAGATCATTGGCTCCTTTTTTCGAATGTATTTCAGTGTAAAATATCACAACGCGTTGGAGTTTTGGGGGCTTCTCTCGATTAAGTAGCATTTTATTTTATCCCCTTTATATTTCTAAGTGATTAAATGCGTACGGTTGTAATTACTTAAAAGTAAAGGGATGTGTGTGTGCACTACGCATTGCAGTGCAGTGAAACCTCCCTCATCTGCATTGATGGAAGCTGTTGGTGGACCCTATTATGCATGCCTATTCGTAAAAACGATTCCGCTTATCAACAACACGGTGGATATTCGTAGGCCTTGGAAGGTCACTTGAAGATATGATGGTTGCCGGTCACGACTAAACAACGGAATGGCGGCCAACAGAAGGAACATACCCAGAGAGGACATCCATTGCAGAGATGGTGGTAATGGAATCAGTTTACGTTTCAGGAGAGATATGGTGTTGGAGACGGTTTGGGGAGGTCTTCATCCATCATTTGAATGGATCGCGGCTGTTTGCCAATAGGATGATTTTTACCGTGACTCTTCTCTCATCAGATAAAGCGTCTTAGATAGTGTTTGCAGTGCCACTCTTATTCATGAAAAAAATGGGAAGACATTTTTCGGATGAATAAGTACCACATAAAACAGGATGTGCTTGTAATTGGGTTGTGAATCAGAGGGAGTTTCAATGTTTATTTTTTCACGATTATTTCAAAGGTTGAAAACGCGACTTTTAATATCGACATAAGGCAGCGTTGTTTAAAAATTGCAAAAGTTACAATATCACACCATGTAAATGTTGATGGTAGGTCACATTTACTTCATGTTTTCACTCAGTGGAATTGCGATCTAAACTGTATAATATATAGTATAGACGCCAATCCACTGCTGGATGAAGGCCTTTCCACACAGTCATGGTCATAATGTACAGTACGCATTTTCTATTTTACAACCCCAGACATTTGTGGTTGGGGTTGTTTCCATACTTCACGCTGGTCAGTGTGGGTTGGTGAAGGGCGGGTTGGGGGGAGGGTGCCAAGGATCAGTTCAGACATCACGTGCCACTAACATCGCGTGCCAAGGCTGGGAATCTATCCCAGGTAACTGGATTCAGATTGCAGTGTGCTAACCACTTCACCACTAATACGGATATGTTTGCACAGTATATTGTATGAAGTACACACGTGTGCAATTGTATACGTTCTACATTATGAACTGTTGGTTGGATTAAAGTACAGCAGAACCATACTAAATGCAAAAATAAAAAATCCCCGATCATATGGCTCAGTGGTAGAGCAAGCGGCTCGTGATCCTGAAAGTTGCGAGTTCCAATACTGGTTGCGAGTTGACTCGGCCCACCATCCTTCCAGGTTCTGTAATAAGTATAACCCGTAAAAACAAAGTTTTTCACTATAAATCCTTTATATGCGTGGCGGCTAGAGTCCTCTCGTCCTCTGGCTTGAGATGGCTGTCACCTATGGGCCAGATGATTGCATTGCACCATTAAGCAATTGGTAATTAAATATAATATTTTTGTCCTAAGAAGTGTAAAATTTTGGAAAAATTTTTTCACGAACATTAATTGTCACCCACAACGAGTCTGTGTGGAAAATGTCAGCTCGATTGGATCACGGGAAGTGGGTTAAAAAACGACCGAAAGATTTGCACGGTCCTAAGCAAGCAAGCGAACTTAATATAAAGGATTTAAAAATAAGTATAACCCGTAAAAACAAAGTTTTTCACTATAAATCCTTTATATGCGTGGCAGCGAACTTAATATAAAGGATTTAAAAATATATTCGCCTGTGGAGGACGCGGGGATCGATCCCGCGACCTTTGGCATGGGAAGCGAGGGCGCTACCAACTGCACTACTCCGCCACGGCCTGTGGAGGGGTTACGCTCTGGGCTCTTATACTGTGACGTTCAGCCAAAGCCAAGAATGAGTTCTATTTGAATATATGTAAAAAAAAAAATTTCCTAAAAAGTTTAAAATTTTGGGAATTTTTTTTCACGAACATTAATTGTCACCCACAACGAGTCTGTGTGGAAAATGTCAGCTCGATTGGATCACGGGAAGTGGGTTAAAAAACGACCGAAAGATTTGCACGGTCGTAAGCAAGCAAGCACGCAAGCAAGCAAGCGAACTTAATATAAATGATTTAAAAATAACACTTGCTCGGGAAGTCTACAGTGGTTGACCTATTACTAAACTCACCATCGTAATGGAATGTGGAATTTTCACCACGAGCCGCAGGGCTGTAAACAGGGAGATACCCACTGGCTGAATGCTCATGAGCAGGAAATGACTAACTTCTTCCTTTGCCTAGTCTTTCAAGGGGTTGTAGGAGAAAGCTCTGTTAACCCCCCCCCCCCTCCCAAAGCAGAGTACTGGCACATTATTATTTTAATGCAAAGCATGTGACACAAAAAGTACTTTTATTTTTTATTAATTCATAAATTACACTTTAATAACAGATAGCTAATTACAGTATTGTATGTTTCACCAAATGAAATAAATAAACATCATACATCACTCATTATAACGAGAAATCCATAAATAACACACGCTAAAGAAATTACACTGGTTCTGATGTAAATGCATTCAACACATCAACAAACAGATATACTTCTGCACATATGCACTGCACACCTGCAGGTTACTTATAATTTACTTAATTTACAATCTTTTGCTGTTGATGGGCCTTTTTTAAATACAGTATAGGCACTTTAAAGAGCTGTCAACCAATCGTGCTGTCAAGCACACAAGTCTTGCTGCAGACCTCATCTTTGCACCTTTGGTTTAAATGGGAATTGATACGGAAATGTAAAAGAACAATGGATTACCAAATTCTCATTACAGGTGACAAGCACTGTTCCCGACACTTTATTGTCAATTTAAAATGTGCGATAAAAATAGCGAATCTGAAATTACGGGTGAGTCACTTTTCACGGCTTATTTCAATAAAATGTGAAAAAGCTTGATTTGCACACATAAAACATTGTTTTCCTACGGCGTCTGGATTATTAAATCCTAATATTCTTCGATATCGAAATTAGAAAAATTCTTAATGAAAGATTTTTGGCATGATTAGCTTTCAGGATATTGCTTGTACATTATACAATGTAATGGGCAAGAAGTCCCCAGTAAAAACTGTAATGTACATGATGGCAGATAATCTAAAGTGCTGGACGAACGCAGGATAAGCTGTATTTTGAAAGTGAGGTGCTAATATCATGACTTCATTGCAAATTCACACATGCTGGGGATTTCTTTTACAGGATATTTCAACACAAAAAGGTCAGTATCGATCAGCACCAATTAGCGCATCCTCACTTTAAAGCATGCATGAATGCACAGCAACATCCAGTCCGGCAATGGCACTGTACCCTGAGCCATGGAATGTCATTGTTCACATGTAAACTTAGAAAATACCACTCAAATTCTGCAGACTGTGAAAGAGATATAAAAAAAAACTCCACATCCATAATCAAAATTACCCACCGAGTTGTATACAGTGGTAACGTATCTAACGCAACTACACCAAGGCAGTTGTAATTATTTAAATGTTTTATTGCAATTGGATTTGTGTTGGCTCCACTTGCAGATTTTTAATCCTGGGTTGAAAATGTTGCGAATCATCGTGGAGTTCAGTATATCCCTTCATGTGCATAAATACAGTTATGGAGACAGGTCCCCTTTTTTCTGCGCCAATGGTCCCAACAATCTTCTGCCTGCAGAAGGTCTTGAAATCATGACAGTGAAGCAGTAGTGATCAGAGACTGTAGCTCAACAAGCAATTCATCCAGATTTTTTATAACCTGAAACGAGAAGAGGTTCAACGTTACTACTGCATATATATCACGTTAACTTATTTGCTAAATATGCATGAATAAGGAATTGTTTAGAAACTGAACTGAATATTGTCCAGTGCACAGAATAATATGGTACGTGTATATGCATTCAATATATTGTTAGTGCTTGCTTATGGATGAATATGCTCATGAGACTTTGATGAAAAGCATATCTTAGTTCAGCACACAGTTTCCTATATTGTTCCTTCTTTATTCAATCATATAATATAATCGAGCACAATGACGTCATGGCTACTCCATTGCAAAGTAAATTAACGAGTGCAGGCTGCTGAATTTTAATAGTCAATTATCAAATCTTTTTGACCTCCGCAAGCATGCAAGAAAAAATATCATTACCATTTGATTTTAAATGTAGGATTTGGGCCAACAGAAAATGGCATGCATATATACCCTTTTTAATTTAGCACTACAGCAGATGGTAATGCCACATAGCATTACTTAGTGACAGTTAGATTAAAAATGATCACATTTGCATGGCACCTCTCCGACAAGCACATTAACCTGTAACCCCCCCCCGAACAAGACATTTAACCATACCATATAACACACAATATACAGCATCAATGCACTTCCATGGTTCATCATATTTACTTTTTATTAGTGAAGAAAACCTTGTAAATTGACTAAGGGATTAGCATTCAATATACCAAATGTTACGTTACCTATTCACACTACAGTATACTGTAGTTAGAGGAACTTACACTGCCTAGCGTAGCCAGAGAAGTCATCAGTTCACTGTTGGTGAGGTCTACTTTGTCAGCAGATGACATGGGATTCAAATTGCTTCGGTCGGGAAGGCTAAAATGCATAAAATGGGTAGTGTTAATATTTTGTATTAATGTATTTAAATTACATGACAACATTCATAACAGTTGTTTGCCTTATTTTTGTAAAAAAAAATGGTGAAAGTGCTTAATATTTCATGCACATTACTACTGTAGTATTATTTTGATTTAAAGCTTTCGTGACTGCAGGGATTCATATTCTTGGTTCTTTCGGTAAAGTCACGTAGAAGGGAAACAATAAAATAATAAAATATAAGACAATAAAATTCTCACGACGTTTCGACTGAAACACAAGCAATCATCATCAGGTGTGAAATCCTCAGCAAGAAAAATAAAAAAATTGAGAAAAAAACCTTTAATTTTTTTTAGAAAAAAAAACCTTTTTTCAAATTTTCTTGTTGTGGATTTCACACCTGACGATGATTGTTTGTGTTGCAGTCGAAACGTCGTGATAATTGTATTGTCTTATATATTTTTATAATTTTATTGTTTCCCTTCTACATGACTTTACCGAAAGAACCAAGAATATGTAGTAGTATTATTAACGTATTACTGATTACCCTCAAGCAAATAGAGTTGCGAAATATATTGACTTGTGTCTAGCAACGAGATGGATTGTGGCATCACAGGACCATGAGGGAAGATGTTGGCAAAGGGAGGCCTCCATTCAGCAGTGGATATGTGGCTCATATCCTTAACTAAACAGATTTGTATGCTTGATTTGTAATGTTTAACATAATCTGAAACTTTTCAAACAATTCTTAATTTAGCTATGATGGGTTTTTTTTCTTCCAAATAAAAAATATTCTGCTGAGTTGCAGTTATCAGGTAATGTTATATATGGCAAAAAGTGGCTTACCCAGGAACATATTGCTGTTCAGGTCCCATCCCGATTGAAGTTAGGTGAGCCTCCAAAGATGCTATTTTCACCGCCATGTAACAAGACGACACCATAAGCAACACGATCCTGAAAGCGGAGAGGCAGAGTTAATTACAATTCGTGAGCGTAATTTCCTCGTGCATCCGTCGATAATGCAAATTGTCGTCGAGTGTATTGTTAATGCACGACAATTGATTACACTTACAGTAAAGTGCACACAACCAGAATGTAATGCACTGATTGTTGATCTTCTGTCCTTGGTGTTGAACTTAAGAGGTAAGACATTTTTTGTTGGAGTCTGCCTGAGGAGAGACAACAAGAGTAGCATGTCACTGCACAGTTCGAGGAGGTGAATGGTAGCTGTTTTGCAAAAGTCTCTGAAAGCCCCAAAACACCTCTATGCCGACAAGAGGACAACCTGGGTGAAGAATCAATGCTCCGTGAATGCAACTTCAACTGATTATACAAAATGAAAACAAGTGTATGTAACAGTTGACATTTTGGGCAATGGCACAACTTGATAGCTGAGCTATGCATAAGGACCATTGCCCTGAAATATTAATTTTCCTTTTTTTTCTTTTACAGCAGTGTTATTTCATTTTTTCCCTTTTTCTTCTATATGGTTATGTGCCAGTGCACATCACTCTTTATTCTGAAAATACAAATTGGCACAAAACCACAGCACCTGACCAAATATTAACATACACAAACCTGCCGCTTTTCTAACGGTAAGCAGAAAATGCGTTTTTTACAATTCTAAAATACATACTGGATTGGCGCATTGGGTGCACATGCTCTATGGGCTTTATGCATTGGAACATTTCAGCTTATACAATTTAGAACAAGATGACAGTTTACCAGCTAATATAGTCCCCCCATTCACTTTCACCTTTTTATGCCCTCTACCTGACCTGACACGTTAGACAAAGCTCTATATTTCGAAACGGTTGTGGACTCTTTCCCAACGAATGCCCTCCCCTCGCCCTATCCTATCGTTCCCCTGGTCACCTCCCCCCTTCCCCGCAAGAGCAATGGAAATCCAAGTCAAAGCCATTTCCTGCTCAATTGAGCATTGAGGCAACGTACATCTCCAGTTCACATCCCTGAGGCAGCAATGGAGATTCAACAATCTTTTGGCTGGGGCGAGTCTATCCATGGGAAAACCAGTTTACTTCCCCCCCACATCATCCCTTGACCCTGGAGGAATGATTGGCAGAGTCAACCCCCAACTAGGATTTAAACTCGCGAAACTTCCAACCGCTAGCTGATTCGCTCTACTGCTGAGACACCTGGCCGGGCGACACCCCCACTTTCCCCACAGAATCAGTGAAATTCAAAGTATGAATAGACCTGTGTGAATACAATACACATGAGCGGTTTCAATTGTATGAGACGCACGCATGAAACTTGTATGGATCGCACTTATTCTCCTTATTTTGTGCCGTGCGGAAAACAAAATACGTACTGGTAAATGAGGGGGCTGGGGGAGCCGCTGTCTGGGTTGATGATGGCCTTGAGATGGCATCAGTCTCATGCAGACCGTTTTTCCATTTGATCTCTGTCGGGCTGCTTTCTATAATAAAGTAAAGGGCAGAAAGGTTATCTTTGATGAAGGTACAAGCTCTGCAAAGTTGTGCTTTCCAGTATCGCTGGTGGACGTTCCTCCATTAGAGGGAGCTCTACAGAGGGTATTTGGCCTACTCTTCAACGCTGGCCAGACATCTTGGATTGAAGCAGGAGCACCACACGTGACCTGCCGATCGATTCACTGTGGGTGCACTCATTTATATTGCCGGTTGGACAGAGGTGTGAGAGATTTAAAAAGAGATCACCACTATTTCAACTGCTGCATCAGGGGATTTGAACTGGTGACCTCTGGATTGCAAGTCCAGTTTGTTCACCATCATGCAACAGGTCTTTGGTACAGCGATACAGTGTTTAAATACATGTTTGACTTAAGTAGGAACTGTATGTTTAAAACGGAAAATGTTTGACTGGACTCCAGCTGCATACCTTCATGCTCTTCAAACACAGAGCTGGTGCTGCTGCTTTGTGTACTTGGAGTGGTTTGATTGGAAGGGACCAATTCAAGGCGCAATCCATCAGTGGTGGTCTAAACGAAAACACGTAAAAACACATATAAGCTAAGGTCAGGATTTGTGTTGAATTTATTTTACCCTTAATCCCATTCACATGATGTGCATTTCAAATGAATATTTAACGTAAAGTGTCACGTCTTTTTTTTTGGATGAATATTTATAATCTTTTTCTGAATTTTATTTCCAGTCTACTGCTAGCAAAATTGCAGAAAAAAGAATTCATGTGGAACAACTGCAAGAGAGATTTTTAAAGAACCTCTTCTGAAAAACCCTTCAAGTGGCCTTTTTATATTTATACAATAGAGGCTGTACTTCCCCTCCAATGATGCTATGATTTTGCTGCAATTGGCACATGATAGTGAAACCTATATATTTTTTCAAGACTAAACTTTGGCATTAAATTAAGTGGAAAAACACATATAATGATTTTTTTCATGCAGTCATTGGTTGACTGGTTGAGGCCATCCACTCCGTACAGTCGAAGAGCCAGTTTAAACACAGGTGGCTGCTTGGATTTGAGCCCAGGGGCCTCTGTGACGCCAGCTCAGGGCTCCAATCTCTATAGCTACCTCGATTTAAAGAAATTTTAATATTGAAATTGTTATACTAAATGTTGTTGAATGTAAAAAAGGTGAAATAAGCAAATATCCACTGTGGTTTCAGAAAATACTAAACGTCCATTTATCTATTTATTTTATTTTTCAGTACAGTATATAGGAATGCAGGAGATGGGTCCATGCTACACAATTTGTATTCCTCAGTGCTGTCAAGAGGATTTAGCAATTGTTCCACCAGACTCTTATATTGAAAGACATGAGCATTTTACCGTATTGAAGGCATCAGGCCTGGCGCAGTTGCTGGAGGCTTGTTCCTGCCCAAGTTGTACAAGGTTGTTGGAACTGTTTTCGTTTACTGCCTATGTGAAACATTTCAAAATATTAGTTTGACACTAACATGCAGCACATCTGATATATTTTTAAAACTACGAACACTATACACCACAGATCTCTTTACATGACCAATAGTTTTGTGACAGATATAGTGAATGTATGATAAAACATTTGTTTAATTACATGCTTTTAAAATGCATTTTAAAGACGGCTAAGAATACTCACTATTATGTTGTTCTTTTAAAATGGCATGCTTTGAGAGTCACTTCTTTTGTGGAGTGACGTTTAGCTCTGCTAAAAGCACAGTAATGCCCTATAGTCTCGATAATCTTTTTCAACAAGGGTCTGCCATGGTATGTTTGGCCAATTCCTTTATTGAGTGTGGTATGTGGGAGGAAATAGGAGTACCCAGAGAAAACCCACACATATAAAAAGGGATAACACGCAAACCTTTACAGAGATGGATTCTCCCATCTTATGGCCACCTCCTCATTATTGCTCTTTTTTTCTCTCTACAAATTATTCCCATCTGTCTTGTGGGACGAAAAATGTATTTGCTTAGTCAACCATGAGAGAATTGCCCATCGGGTGGAAGACAGCAGAACATTTGCCAAAATGACAGATCCTATAATTAGACATTTTAAGTATCAAGAAGTGTATGCAAAGAGCCGCTCTCATCGAGTCCACCGGGGTACAGTGTAAGTATGAACTTAGTATCAGATACAGTGTAAGTATCACTTAGGGGTTAAGCAGTCAGCTCAGAGAAAGAAAGATGAGATGACAGAGGAAGCAGCTTGCACGAGGCTATTGCTTTACCTCGGCTTGCTTGCAGACAGACAGCAGGGCTTTGTATGCGGCATCCCGGGCCAAGAAGGAGATGAACATGTGCTAAAAACGGAACACCACATCTGTTAATTCATACAAAAATCAAGTGCAATTTTTATATACGTATATAATGTAATGACATTATTGGTCCATACAATTAATATTCGTGTAATTCAAGCGGCAGTGTTGTAAAAATGTTTAATTGGTATGCAATGTTTTAATGTGAAAAATTACACATTGAACAGCTTCGTGACGATAACAAAATGAAACTTACTTTTTCACAGGCAGATGTTATGCCAATGGCATTTGGTAGCAGAAGCGCACTTCTCTGCTTTTTAATCGCTTTCACAGTCAACACCGGAATTGCAACCTAAAATTACATGCGAAAACACGATCATTGTATAATAATAATATTCATTTACAGCCATTTGTTAATCTACTGCTGGACTCGAGCCTACCCATGCCACGCTCTTTATGAGGGCTATTTGACCAGTCTGGATTGGCTAAGGTGATGCTCAGGACTGGTGAAAATATCACTCACCCCTTATTTTAGCTATGACTGGAATCTAACTCCATTGACCGAATTAAAAATGCAGTGCACTAACCACTGAGCCATTCAGATGGATCATTAGCACCTTTTAAATTGAAAGTACATGTTCATTTCATTACGAATATGACCATTCATCTTTACCGACTGCTGTGGGAGTGTTGATGCTAAATTGAGAATGTTATGAATGTGCCGACGATCTTCGGAGGAAGCTTAAAATCGCAATATAATATGGTGGATTCAATAAGTTGGTCTCTTAGGACATGCGAGAACTCAAGCCCATGCTTGTATAATTATGCAAATTGATCACCAAGAAGTGAGACATCGCCCGATTGCAAATGAGTTACATGTGGTTATTAATATTATTACAGAACAGGGCAAGGTAGGCAGGTACATTATTCTAGAAAGTTATTGATTTATTGCACACATTTCAGCTACATTGCTGGAAAAAAAATCCTTCATCTTGGGTCAGCATTGAGTCAACGCAAATTTACCCACTAGCTCAATGAGCTTGTGGGAATATTAGATCTGACAATGCTTTTAAATGCGAGATAAAATCTGACTCTGCCATGGCCCAGCCACGACCACTCAGGACACCCCAATGCAATGGATTGTGAATGCAACGTAATAAGCCAGAAGAGATGGGTCCCTTTTTCGTTGAGTTTTAATTTACCCGAGTGTGCCCATCTGGGGCAACTAACAGTGCACATGCCACGCACGACACGATGAGCTGCGTCGGCCATCGCTACCACATTTAAAAATATTTAATTTCTGAATATGTCTTACTTTGTTTAAATATTGTATTAACAAGTGTAACTAAAACAGTATACCAAGACATTGGACCTTTTCTTATCAAAGAAAAACTAGAATTGTACCGTAATGTATTACAGCAATATTCAATGTATTTTTATTTATTTAAACGTGGGCAGTAGAACCCCTTGCATAACCAAGAGCAGAATGAAAGTGTTTCATGCCTTCACGTCTTTCCCAAAGAAGTTGGCGAAAAAGCAGATCCAGTTTTCGGAGACAAACATTCGGCCTTGAAATATGAGGTCTCTTTGGAGTGCACAGTTGAAGGCTGTGGAGGGAGAAAGCACACATACAAAGTTTGCATGAAACAAAAATATGGACTACAAATACAAAATAGTGAACCAAAACTGTCATTATACTTACTCTCAATGGGATCTTCTTCCTCTGGAATTTCTTTGAACAACTTGTGGAACTGGTTGGTGTACTTGTTCTGGGGCTAGAGAGCAAATATAGAGCAAATAAAAGTCCGACAAAGCGCCACGTTATGGAAGGGCACCAACAATCTGCATTTGTTTAATTTCTACAGTGTGTACAGTATGCAGCATTTCCAACCGTCACATATCCACCTTGACCACTTACCGGCCCACGCCCAGTGCGGTTACATGTGCAGCAATATGTCATTTTTCTCTAAATTCACGTAACAAGACGTTTCCCATATCCGCATAAACCTCAGTGGTCCGCAAGTCATATATGCAATGATTGTGTCGTGTATGGCTCATATCTTAGATGTTGGAAAGTCATGTTTCCATGTAATAAAGTGTTCAATTTCACTATTAATTCGAAGCAATAATATTTGTAAAAATAGTAATGACCATCCACGTTGGAAACAATTAAAATCAGGTCAGCCATTATTTTCAAGTTTCATCGTCACTGCGCACGTTTGCGACCAGATGTCTGAACGTTCTATTTGCATAGTTTTTAGTTGACGTGATGCTCTGTGCTTCCCTAAAAAAAAACACACGGCCAAAACAAGAAAACCACTGTGCCACACTTGAGAAAAAACTCACCAGGATGTGAAACATGCTGCACCAAAAGGAAAAAATGACCCTGTCATTAGCGAGAAATAACCTTTATGTACCGTGTGGTTTAGAACGGTATGGCTCTGAGCAGTTCCATTGCTCCTTGCTGTGCAAATACAGTACGTTCTTTTTTGTTAAGTCAGATTCAATACGATCAGCAACCATTGTTACTTTTCTGCATCCTGATTGGTGGTCAACCCGCAAGCAGTTTAACTGTGCAATGTACCAAAAATTGCAATCTTTCGAAAGTAACCCCTCCATTAAAGTAACAAACGGCTGAACCCCGAGGTGTACAGCCTGTCATATTACAGAGGCCTTGACCTCGAATCAAGGCCCTTATCTTCCGTTGCCTCATTCTTTTATTGCTCTATGGGGGTCTCGTCAATCGAGTTAAGTCACGCGCACGGCTGTCATTAAGTTCACACTTTAAATACAGTGCCTAGGTGAACATTCCATTGTGAGTGCAAGATTCCTGTGAATTGTCCAATAAACCGACAGATGTGTTCAATCACTGACGTAACACTTGCACCTCAAAGCTAGATAAACCGTCTTTACTGACGCAAGAACGCACGATTGGCCCCTCGTGTTCGATGCATGTTTGTGCGGTGCTGCAGAGATGTTATATTTCAAGCAATATACACGACGTTTTGAGAAGGCGATACTTTGTGATATGCAGTGAGTTACTCACAGAGACTGATGGGGACTTGTTTTTTTTCTCAACTTCTCCAGTCCTTGCTAAGGAAGGATGATACGTGTTGGATCTGTGGCGAAAGTAACATAAAGTAGATTCATGCTGATGGGGGAGGGGGAGGTGGGGATTTTGGTGGTGGATCCGATTATCCAGACTTAACACAAACACTGTAATAGGATGAATTTAACTGCACTCCCTGGTTACTCTTATTTGCGGGTAAGCATGGATATCCGAACGGTAACCGAAAATAGAACAATACTTGAAAAGTGCACAGAGAAGAAGCTTGAAGATGTGAATTCTTGGAATTACACTGGGAGGCAGAAAGAGGAATACATAGATGAGACAACGCCCGCAAGTTGAATTTCATTAAAAGTAAACAGGATTGAGAATTGGTGACGAGACAAGAATAGGTCACGTGACAATAAAAGATGTTGGACAATTGTGGAGAATAACGAGAGTGACAGCCAAAGGAGGGTAACAAACCCGAGAGGGTATCCATTGTGGAGATGGAGCGATGAAATCAGCTCATGTGCAGAAGCCAGATGGAGCGTTGCTTTGCGAGACCGTGAGAAAGGGAGGCCTTCATTCAGAGATGGATAGATCATGGACCATGACGATGATGAATATGAGGATCCATAGATTGATTTGAGAGGGCAGGTAACAGGAATCAGCAGATTCAGAAATAGAATGGTGCATGAGAGGGCCTTCACTTCATTATACGGGTAAAGGAGAATTGTATCCGCAGTCATAATGTGTATTTGTTGTCAAGTATTCATTACAGTCTGTGTAATTATATGCTTCCATTATTAGATCGGAGCACATGCACACAAAGTAATTTTCAACAGCATCCAATTGTAACTGTGCGTACTCAACAAAGGTCTGAAAAGGCGTATTGCGCGGGTAAACTGCTCCACCAAGAATGTTTTGAACTGCTTTGCGGTGAATGATAAAGCACGTGGGTCGCATGTATTCAAGAGTGATCTGTTTACCTCAAGATGGGGGGCTTTTTCTTCTTTTTAATATCGATCAAGGCATCGGCTTCACTGCTGAACGTGTCTGCCCGTTGATTGAATCCATCTACTTGCGTTGTGATGGGGGTTTCTGAAGAACGACTGGAAAAAAGAAGAGGCACAATGAGACAAATCCTGTTACTTTGGATACATTTTAATGTGAGCAATATTAAATAGCCCCCTTTGAATTACGCTGTTAAAGAGTGGATTGGTGGTACAATGGTGAGCTTGCGACACTACGAGCCTGGCCTGCCTAGTTCGATTCCCGGCCACACCTGACATCAGTGGGCAATCGAGATCAGAACCAGTCCTGCAGCTTCCCACCCCCAACTTCATCAACCTTCTCCCCATGAATGACATGGCTTGGGGAGGGAGACCTTCATCCGTTGGCGGATTGAAAATGGTTGGAATGTACGGTAAACTGCGTTTCAGAGTAAAGCCCTTAAACCTACATAAAAGGGAACAATAGGTGCCACTGTTGTGTTTTTGTAGTCGATGGTCAAAACAATTGCAGCTGTGAAACCAATGACTGTAAAACACTGCTAAAAGCTAAAACGACATTTTGAAAAGGCAGATACTTTAGCGTGCACATTCTGAGTTTTTAATATTTTTGGCAAGTTTATTAACAGGCGTTGGCTGCAGTCAGGACATTGGACGCATCCAAAGCAGTTTAAAATGTTGCATATTGGAGGCTCCTCAGAAATAAACTTACATAAGGGAAGTCATGTTTATAAAGGTTAAAAAAGTAATGCTGTCATAGGTAAAATGTATATAAGAACTTAGCCTCAGGCTAGCCCTTGAAAACCATTATTAGCTTCGCCACAATCGTGTTCCTTGGAGAACTGAGCAGCTGTGTGGCTTCTGCCTATATGGATGACTTGCACACAACATCAAGTGTCAACTATCAAGACCTTGAGTCAGCTGACTGACGTGGCGCCTATGAGCAAACTTTAGTTTCCGCCAAGTAGACCACCACAAATATTGCATTGCTAAACACGAAACGGTGAAATGCTGTGCACCTGTGCGAGTGCATAATTTGAGCAAATATTTACCGATCGATTGCAAGTATGTTGATAATTGCAGGTCACGGTTGGAAATAGCTTTTGTGCCCATTAACCGTGGGGGTGCTAGCAGGGGACCAAACTATTCAACGGGACTTTGTGTGCTTCATGGAAACGGGGTCAATACTGCAGCTGTGTTCACAAAGACACACCTGGTAACTTTGTTGGTCAACATTACTTGGTCCATTGCAAAATACTGCACATATCCCACCTAACCAAGATCAAAGATTTCGATTCTTGCCTTGGCGGCCCCGTCCATAGAATGCACTAGTTTAGCTTGTCAATTTCAAATGAGTCAAAAGCGTCCACGCCAACATATTGTACAGTGTTGTACTTTTACCCATAGGCCTATGTGTCCTCTAGTTTATTTAGTATAAAAAAACTACGCTTAAGAGTTTTAATTAGGTAACACTCGTTTAAATAGCACTTTCATCGTAGGAATGTATATACCAAGGCCGTAGCCATGGAGTCAACATTGGGGGGGACCAAATCTTCCAGGAGGTCTGGGGGTCCCCCCCCCACAGAAAACAAATTAAAATTTGAAAACGAATTTCCTGCCTGAAATATTAAAAAAATTATCTAACACATAGGATGGACTTTTATATTATAATATATTTTTTACAATAATGTCTACTAGTGTATTGTATTACATTGCTATTTTTTCTTTTTTTCCCCCTTTTCTTGTTTCATTGTATATAATGGCAGAGATTAGGGATTCATAAAGTACAACCATAACCACAGTCATATAAACAGAAATCTATTTTATAGCAATATATTGGGGGGGGGGGGGGACATTTTTAGAATATTTGAATATGGGGGGGGGGGGGGGGGTGTCCCCCTCAATATCTATTATAATTACGGTCTTGGTATATACAGAACAACACTTCCCGATATCCGCGTCTTCGATTATCCACAGCTGCAGGTTCTATGAAAACTCCTAAAATCCGCGATATTATTAATCGCGATTTTTCCCAAGCAGGTAAGTGGCCTAAATGTGAATATCGTCAACATCTGTAACTCCACACCACCACGGATTAGATTAGCTTACCCTGTATAAACGAACCATGTATTACACGAGTCTAAATAACTTTCGCTTAACCACCAGAAGTTTAATTTTAGTTGCTATACGTTTTGAAAACTAATTATTTGGCAACCGAATTTAAACAATTGTTATGCCCTCTTTTTGACTTCAATACGGTACAGCCACAATGCTCTACAACCAGCAGAAACAGATTTACATTAGGAGGTAATTAGCACAGCAAAAGTCCCCTCGTCGTGACCAGCAGTCTTCGGCAGTGGCATTTAGCTTCCAAACACATTTCCACGGGGGCAAGAATATAATTCGCATCATTCGTAAAAAACTAACTTCTTTAGAAACTGCTTCAGTATACGGTCCTCCTCCCGCCCACCCCGGCACCTCCGATGAACAAGGTTGGCTACGTACGGTGCGAAAGAAAGTCACCGTGCATACATATGGAGGTGTCACTTTGTTCGGTACAAGTCAACACACACACAAAGACAACACCACACTGCAGTACAGTATGTACATTGGCAGGCGCATTTAGAACACGTGCCGAACTAAGAGTTGTTTCTTCAACTTAGAACACCCATTCCTTCAAGGCACTCAACCTTCACCAAATCGTTCACTCTTGCCACTGGGAAAGTGTGAGATGAGAGAGAGAGAAAAAAAACCCCACACATACAGACAGACACAACAGTGGTGCCCCAGAGAAATCGAGAGAACGAGAGACCAGCTGCGGTTTCCATTAAACATTTAAACGGTCATACACTACTAAGGCCTCACCAATTCGTGCAATTCTCTTCCTCTTTCGTCCTGATCATGGTCATCTTCTTGAGTACTTCTCCATGAAAAAGACGCACAACGTGCTTCCTGCCCCTTCTGAGAGTTGTGGTGGCTGACCAAGCGGGCCACCACTTTCTGGCAAGCCACCAAATGCCCTCCCCTCCTCCTCCTTCACCCGCCCACAACACACACCAACACCACCACCACCTCCTCCTCCTCTCGGCTCTCAATGCAGTGATGAAACAGCTCAGGAGGGTTCAAGCCAAACCCCCCCTGTGCACACACACACACCACACCAGTCTGTGTGGAGGATGAGGAGGAGCAGGAGACCTTGATGGGCTGGGCTGCCGAGCTCGTGTGGCTATTCATTGGAGCCAATCGAATGGCAGGCAAGGTGGGGTAGGAGCACGCCGGCTGGGGGCAGGTCACAGCATGGGGACATTCGCAGGAGCTCGCTGCTTGCGGTCCTTTAATCCCTGACCGGTTTGTGCGCTACCCACGCACATGCTACACACACACACGCACCCACGGGCATGCTAGACACACACACGCACCCACCACACGCTACACACACACGCACACACCACACGCTACACACACACGCACACACCACACGCTACACACACGCACCCACCACACGCTACACACACACGCACACACCACACGCTACACACACGCACACACCACACGCTACACACACACACGCACATGCTACACACACTCACCCACCACACGCTACACACACACACACGCCCCACACGCTACACACACACACCACACACACGCACCCACCACACGCTACACACGCTACACACGCACACCACATACACGCACCCACCCTGCCCTGTCCTGTGGCTATCCAAGCAGCCAACGAAAACCCCCAGCATGAATATTTCACGGGTCAATCTGTCAGCTGCAGGACAGGGAGACGCAACCACTCTTGAGAGGTGTGTGTGTGTGTGTTAGAGGTGTGTTAGAGGGGTGTGTGTGTGTTAGAGGTGTGTGTGTTAGAGGTGTGTGTGTGTGTGTTAGAGGTGTGTGTGTGTTAGAGGTGTGTGTGTGTGTTAGAGGTGTGTGTGTGTTAGAGGGGTGTGTGTTAGAGGTGTGTGTGTGTTAGAGGTGTGTGTGTGTTAGAGGTGTGTGTTAAAGGTGTGTGTGTTAGAGGTGTGTGTGTGTTAGAGGTGTGTGTGTGTTAGAGGTGTGTGTTAGAGGTGTGTGTGTTAGAGGTGTGTGTGTTAGAGGTGTGTGTGTGTTAGAGGTGTGTGTGTTAGAGGTGTGTGTGTGTTAGAGGGGTGTGTGTTAGAGGTGTGTGTGTGTTAGAGGTGTGTGTGTGTTAGAGGTGTGTGTGTTAGAGGTGTGTATGTTAGAGGTGTGTGTGTGTTAGAGGTGTGTGTGTGTTAGAGGTGTGTGTGTGTTAGAGGTGTGTGTGTTAGAGGTGTGTGTGTTAGAGGTGTGTGTGTGTTAGAGGTGTGTGTGTTAGAGGTGTGTGTGTTAGAGGTGTGTGTGTTAGAGGTGTGTGTGTGTTAGAGGTGTGTGTGTTAGAGGTGTGTGTGTTAGAGGTGTGTGTGTGTTAGAGGTGTGTGTGTTAGAGGAGTGTGTTAGAGGTGTGTGTGTTAGAGGTGTGTGTGTTAGAGGTGTGTATGTATTAGAGGAGTGTGTTAGAGGTGTGTGTGTTAGAGGTGTGTGTGTTAGAGGTGTGTGTGTTAGAGGTGTGTGTGTGCTAATGGTGTGTGTTGGAGTGAGAGGTGTGTGTGTGTGTTAGAGGTGTGTGTGTTAGAGGTGTGTGTGTTAGAGGTGTGTGTGTGTTAGAGGTGTGTGTGTGTGTGTGTTAGAGGTGTGTGTGTTAGAGGTGTGTGTGTTAGAGGTGTGTGTGTTAGAGGTGTGTGTGTGTGTTAGAGGTGTGTGTGTTAGAGGTGTGTATGTTAGAGGTGTGTGTGGTGTTAGAGGTGTGTGGTGTTAGAGGTGTGTGTGTTAGAGGTGTGTGTGTTAGAGGTGTGTGTGTTAGAGGTGTGTGTGTGTTAGAGGTGTGTGTGTGTTAGAGGTGTGTGTGTTAGAGGTGTGGTGTGTTAGAGGTGTGTGTGTTAGAGGGGTGTGTGTGTGTTAGAGGTGTGTGTGTGTAGAGGTGTGTGTGTTAGAGGTGGTGTGTGTGTTAGAGGTGGTGTGTTAGAGGTGTGTGTATGTTGAGGTGTGGTGTGTTAGAGGTGTGTGTGTGTTAGAGGTGTGTAGTGTTAGAGGTG